ACTACTACATATATATATATGAGGAGGTACAAGCACCAAACATGGTTTTTATAGGAAATTGCAAGAACTTCAAACAGACACTAGGAAACAGAATGGGAAACCAGTGAAAGGCTTTCTCGGGCTTCCTGATCACTTTGTGCTAGATGAATGAGCGTCTGTCCGCATGATCAGTTCTGAGAGATTAGTTTCTGTTAAAGGCATACTTCACCTTGCTTGTTGGCCTACAAAGTTTCTATTCAGTTGGAAACTAAACTACATATATTTATATTGGTGAGGTACTCGCTCCAAATCCTTTTATCAGTGAAAACTACAGGAACTTCAAACTGACACTAGGAAATCGACAGAGAAACCAGATTAAGAGTTTCTCCTGCAAAACTTTCCATTTGTGCTAGATGAAAGAACGGTTCTCCACATGCTCAGTTCTCAGAGAACAATTTGAGTTAAAGCCATCCTTCCCCCAGTTTTCTGGAAACAGAAAGTTTCTTTTCAGTTGGAAACAACACTACATACATATTTATGGGGAGGTACTTGTTGCAACTCGGTTTTTTAGTGAAAAATGCTGGAACTTCATACCAGCACTATGAAACAGACTGAAGAAAGTATAGTAAGTGTTTCTCCAGCTACGCATTCCCTTTGTGCTAGGTGAAAAAACGACAAACCACATGCTCAGTTCTGAGAGATTTGTGTGTGTGAAATCCGCCTTCCCATATTTTGTTGGGAACCAATATTTTCTTTTCAGTTGGACACTACAGTACATACATATATATGGGGAGGTACTAGTTCCAACTATACTTTACAGTGAAAAATGCAGGAGTATCCAATCGGCATTATGACGCACACCGAAGAAATCATAGTAAATGTTCTTCCTGCTACACGTTCCCTTTAAGCTAGATGAACTAACATCTCTACACATGCTCATTTCTGAGAGATAAGTGTTTGTGAAAGCAAAATTTCAACTAGTTTGTTGGAAATAGAAAGTCTCTTTTTACATTGAAACTATACTACACACATATATAAGGGGAGATATTGGCACCATAATGATTTTAAATTGAAAAATGCAAGAACTTCAAACAGGAACTAGGAAACAGACTGAGAAACCAGAGGAAGAGTTTGTCGTGCAAACCGATCCCTTTGTGCTTAATGAATGAGAGTCTGTCCGCATGCTAATTTCTGAGAGTTTAGATTGTCTTAAATGCTTACTTCACCTAGCTTGTTGGTTACACAATGTTTCTATTCAGTTGGAAACTAAACTACATACATTTATATTGGGGAGGTATTCAATCCAACTCGGTTTTTCAGTGAAAACTGCAGGAATTTCAAACCAGTGCTTGCAAATAGACAGACAAGCCAGAGTAATTTTTTCTCCTGCAATGTGTTCCTTTGTACTAGATGAAAGAAAGACTCTCCATATGCTCAATTCTGAGATAGAAATGTGTGTGAAAGCCGTCCTCCACCTAGATTGTTGAGAACACAAAGTTTCTTTTCAGTTGGGAACTTCACTAAAAAATGCAAATGGAGAGTTACTAGTACCAGCTTGGTTTTTCAGTGAAAACTGCAGGAACTTCAAAGCAGCATTTGGAAACAGACTGAAGAAACCAATTTTCATGTTTGTCCTGCAACACAAAAGCTTTGTGCTAGATGAAAGAATGTCTCTCCACATGCTCAGTTCTGAGAGATTTGTGTGTGTGAAAGCCGTCTTCCCATAGCTTGTTGGGAATGAAATGTTTCTATTCATTTAGACACTACAGTACGTACATATATATGGGGAGATGCTAGCTCCCACTCAGTTTTACAGTGAAAACTGCAGGAACTTCTAATCGGCATGAAGTAACAGATTGAGAAACCAGAGAAAGTGTTTCTCCTGCAACCCGTTCCCTTTTTCCTACATGAGCTATCATGTCTACACATGCTCATTTCTGAGAGATAACTGTTTTTGAAAGCAATCCTTCAAATATCTTGTTGGGAACACAAAGTTTCTTTCTAGTTGGAAACTATATTACATACATTTATATGGGGAGGTACTAGCGACAACCTGGTTTAAAATTAAAAAATGCTAGTACTTCAAAATGGCACTAGGAATTAGCCTGAGAAGCCAGAGTAAGGGATTTTTGTGTAATCCTTACCCTTAGTGCTAGATGAATGAACATCTCTCCTCATGATCAAGTCTGAGAAATAAGTGACTGTGAAAGGCATCCTTCACCTAGCTTGTTGGGAATACAAATTATCTATTCAGTTGTAAACTACACTACATAATTATATATGGGGAGGTACTAGCTCCAACTAGATTTTACAGTGAAAACTGCAGGAACATCTGACAAGCACTAGGAAAAACCTTGAGATCCCAGAGTATGTGTTTCTCTTGCAAACCATTCACTATATGCTCGATGAACAAAAAGTCTATCCAAGTGCTCAGTTCTGAGAGATATGTGTGTGTGAACGCCATACTTCACCTAGCTTGTTGGGAACACAAAATTTCTTTTCAGTTGGAAAAGACAGTATACACATATATATGGGGAGGTATTAGCTCCATCTCTGGTTTACAGTGAAAACTGCTGGAACTTCAAACTGGCACTAGGAAACAGATTGGGAAACTAGAGAAAGTGTTTCCCCTTTAACCCATTCCTTTTGTGCTATATAAAAAAAAGATATTCCATGTGGTCTGTTCTGAGAAATAAGTCTGTGTGGAAGCCTCCCTTCACCTAGCTTGTAGGGAAAACAAAGTTTCTTTTCAGTTTTAATCTACACTACTTACATACATATAGGGAGGTTCTAGCTCAAAATCGGTTTTACAGTGACAAATGCAGGAACTTCAAACCAGAACTAGGAATTCGACTGGGAAATCAGACTGTGTGTTTCTCGTGCAATCCTTTCACTTGGAGCTAGATGAATTAACGTCTCTCCATGTCCTCAGTTCAGAGAGATAAGTGAGTGTGAAAGCTGAACTTCACCTAGCTTGTTGGGAACACAAATTTTCTTTTTAGTTGGAAACTAGACAATGTACATATATATGGAGAGGTTCTAGCTCCAACTCGGATTTACAGTGAAATCTGCAGGATCTTCATACCAGCACTAGAAAGCTGGCTGAGAATCCAGAGTTAGTGTTTCCTCTACAACAAGTTCCCTTTGTGCCAGTTGATTGAAATTCTTCCCACATGCTAATTTCTGAGACATAAGTGTGTGTGAAAGCTGCATTCACCTAGCTTGTTGGGATCACTAAGTTTCTTTTAAGTTGGAAACTACACTATAAACATATATATGGGGAGGAAATAGATCTAACTCGGTTTTACAGTGAAAACTGTAGGAATTTCAAACCGGCAATAGGAAAAATACTTATAAACCAGAGTAATTTTTTCCCCTGCAAACATTTCCCTTTGTGCTCAGTGAATGAAAGTCTATACATGTGATCAGTTCTGAGATATATGTGTGTGTGAAAGCTGTCCTTCCCATAGCTTGCTGGGAACAAATTGTTTCTTTTTGGTTGGACACTATTCTATATATGTATATATGAGGAGATACTAGTTCCAACTAGGTTTTACATTGAAAACTGCAAGAGATATATTCAGCACTAGGAAACAGACTGAGAAACCAGAGTAATTGTTTCTCCTGCAATTCGTTCCCTTTGTGCTAGATGAACTAACATTTCTACACATGCTCATTTCTGAGAGATAAGTGTTTGTGAAAGGAATATTTCTTTAGCTTATAGGGAACACAAAGTTTCTTTTAAGGTGGAAGCTATATTATATATATATATATATATATATATATATATATATATATATATATATATATATAGGGAGATGCTAGCAGCAACCCGGCTTTAAATTGAAAAATGTTAGAAATTCAAACAGGCACTTTGAAAAAGCCTGAGAATCCACAGTATGTGTTTCTCCTGCAACCCGTTCCCTTTGTGCTAGATCAATGAGCGTCTTTCCACATGCTCAGTTCTGAGAGAAAATTGTATGTGAAAGCTGTTATTCACCTACCTTTAAGGGAACACAAAGTTTCTTTCCAGTTGTAAACTACATACATAAATATATATGGGGAGGTACTCGCTCCAACTATGTTTTACAGTGAAAAGTGCTGGAACTTCAAATCTGCACTAGGAAACAGACAGAAACCAGAGTAAGTGTTTCTCCTGCAACTGCTCCCTTAGTGCTAGATGAAGTAACATCTCTAAACATGTTCATTTCTGAGAGATAAGTTTTTGTGAAAGTAAAATTTCAACTTGCTTGTTGGGAACACAAAATTTCTTTATAGTTGGAAACTATACTACATAGATAAATAAGGGGAATTCCTAGCACAAACCCGGTTTTTAATTGAAAAATGCAAGAATATTAAACAAGCACTAGGAAAAAGACTGAGAACCAGAGAAAGCTTTTCTCGTGCAACCCATCCTTTTGCCATAGATGAATGAGCGTCTGTCTGCAATACTCATTTCTGAGAGACTACTTTTTGTTAAGGGTGTACTTCACCTAGCTAGTTTGATACACACAGTTTTTATTCAGTTGGAAAATAATCTACATACATTTATGTTGGGGAGGTAGTAGCTCCAACACGGTTTCTCAGTGAAAACTGCAGGAACTTCAAACTGGCACTACGAAACAGACTGAGAAACCAGAGGAAGTGTTTCCCTGCAAACCATTCCCAATGTGCTCGATGAATGAAAGTCTATCCACATGCTCAGTTCTGAGAGATAATTGAGAGTGAAAGCCATCCTTCACCTAACTTGTTGGGAAAATAAACTTTCTTTCAAGTTTGAAACTACACTACATAAATATATATGGGGATGTACTCGCTTCAACTAGGTTTTACATTGAAAACTGCAACACATTCATTTGGCACTAGAAAACAGACTGAGAAACCAGAGAAATGGTTACTCCTGCAATCCGTTCCCTTTGTGCTAGATGAACTAACACCTCTACACATGCTAATTTTTGAGAGTTAAGTGTTTCTTAAAGCAATATTTCAACTACCTTGTTGGAAAAACAAAGTTTCTTTTTGTTGGAAACTATACTACATACATATATATGGGGAGATACTAGCACCAAGAGGGTTCTAAATTGAAAAATGCAAGAACTTCAAACAAGCACTACAAAACAGAGGAATAAACCATAGAATGCTTTTCTCATGCAGTTCGAACCTTTTGTGCTAGATGAATGAGCATCTGTCCGCATGCTCATTTCTGAGGGATTTGTTTGTGTTAAAGACGTACTTCACCTTGCTAGTTGGTTACACAAAATTCCTATTCAATTGGAAAGTAAACTACATACATGTATATTGGGGAGGAACTAGATCCAACTCGTTTTTTCAGTGAAAACTGCAGGAACATCAAACTGGCATTAGGAAACATACTGAAGAAACCATAATAAATGTTCTCCTGCAATGCATACCAATTGTGCTAGATGAAAGAAGGACGCTCCACATGCTAAGTTCTGAGATATTTGTGTGTGTGAAAGCTGCCTTCCCATAGCTTGTTGGGAACAAAATGTTTCTTTTAAGTTGGACACTACAGTACGTACATATATATTGAGAGGTTGTATCTCCAACTAGGTTTTATAGTGAAAAGTGCAGGAACTTCAAATCGGCACTAGGAAAGAGAATGAGAAAGCAGAGTAAGTGTTTCCCCTGCAAACATTTCCCTTTTTGCTAGGTGAGCTATCATCTCTACACATGCTCATTTTGGAGAAATAACTGTTTGTGAAAGTGCTCCTTCAAATTGCTTGCTGGGAACAGAAAGATTCTTTCTAGTTGGAAACTATATTACAGACATATACATGGGGAAGATGTAGCACCAACCTGGTTAAAATTAAAAAAAATGCAAGAACTTCAAATCAGCACTAGGAAACAGCCTGAGAAACCAGAGTAAGTCTTCTCCTTCAAACAGTCCCATTTGTGCTCAAAGAAATAAAGTCTATCCACGTGCAGTGCTGAGACATATGTGTGTGTGAAAGCTGACCTTCACCTAACTTGTTGGGAACACAAAATTCCTTTTCAGTTGGAAACTACACTATATACATATATAAGGGGAGATAATAAATAAAACATGGTTTTACTGTAGAAACAGCAGGAACTTCATACCGGCACTAGGAAAAGTCTGGGAAACCAGAGTATGTGTTTCTACTGGAACCCGTTTCCTTGCAGCTAGATCAACGAAAGTCTATCCACATTCACAGTTATGAGAGATAATTGAAAATGAAAGCCTTCCTTCATCTTGCTTGTTGGGAACACAAAGTTCCTTTTCAGTTGGGAACAACAAAACATACATATACATGGGCAGGTACTAGCTCCAGCTCTGTTTTATAGTGAAAACAGGAGGAAATTCAACCCAGCACTAGGAAACAGTGAAAAACCAGAGTAATTGTTTCTCCTGCAATCCGTTCAATTTGTCTTCGATGAACAAAAGTATATCCACGTTCTCAGTTCTGAGAGATATGTGTGTGTGTGTGAGCAGTCCTTCACCTAGCTTGCTGGGAACAGACACATTGTTTTTAGATGTACACTACAGTACATACATACATATGGGGAGGTACTAGCTTCAACTCAATTTTACAGAGGAAACTGCAGGAAATTCAAACTGGCATTAGGAATCAGACAGAGAAAACACAGTAAGTGATTCTCCTGCAAACTGATACCTTTGTGCTGGATGAACTAACTTCTCTACACATGCTCATCTGAGAGATGTGTTAGTGAAAGTAATATTTCAACTAGCATGGTGGGAACAGAAAGTTTCTTTTTAGTTCAAAACTATACTACATACATATAAATGGGGAGATATTAGAACCAACTCGGTTTTAAATTGAAAAATGCTAGAACTTCAAACAAGCAATAGGAAACAGACTGAGAAACCAGAGAAAGGTTTTCTCATGCAACCTGATCCTTTGTGCTAGATGAATGAGCGCCTTTCCGCATGCTCATTTCTGAGAGATTAGTTTGTGTTAAAGGCATACTTCACATAGCTAGTTGGTTTCACAAAGTTTCTATTCAGTTGGAAAATAATCTACATATATGTATATTTGGGAGGTACTAACTCCAACTCGTTTTTCAGTGAAAACTGCAAGAACGTCACACCGGCACTAGGAAACAGACTGGGAAACCAGAGTAAGTGTTTCTCCTGCAAAACTTTCGATTAGTGATAGATGAAGAAATTCTATCCACATGCTCAGTTCTGAGGGATAAGTGAGATGGAAAGCCGAGCTTCACCAAGCTTGTTGAGAACACAAATTTTCTTTTCATTTAGAAATTACACTACATACATAAATATGGGGAGGTACTAGTTCCAACTCAGTTTTTCAGTGAAAACTACAGGAATATCAAACCGGCATTAGGAAAAAGAATGAAGAAACCATACTAAATATTTATACTGCAACGCATTTCCTTTTTGCTAGATGAAAGAACTACTCTCCACATGCTCAGTTCTGAGAGATATGTGTGTGTGAAAACCACCTTCCCATAGCTTGTTGGGAACAAAATGTTTCTTTTCAGTTGGACAATACTGTACTTACATATACATGGGGAGTTTGTAGATCCAAATTGATTTTATAGTGAAAACTGAAGAAACTTCAAATCAGCACTAGGAAAGAGACTGAGAAAGCAGAGTAAGTGTTTCTCCTGCAAACATTTCCCTTTTTGCTAGATGAACAATCATCTCTACACATGCTCATTTCTGAGAAATAACTTCGTGAAAGCAATCGTTCAAATAGCTTGTTGGGAACAGAAAGATCCTTTCTAGTTGGAAACTACATTACATAAATATATATGGGGAGTTTGTAGCACCAACTCAGTTTTAAATTGAAAAATGCAAGAACTTCAGGGAAGCACTAGGAATCAGACTCAGAAACAAGAGAAAGGCTTTCTCATGAAACCCGATCGTTTTGTGTTAGATGAATGAGCATCTGTCTGCATGCTCAGTTCTGAGAGATTAGTTTGTGTTAAAGGCGTACTTCACCTAGCTAGTTGGTTACACAAAGTTTCTACTCTGTTGAAAAATAAACTACGTACATGTATATTGGGGAGGTACTATCGCCAACTCGGTTTTCAGTGAAAATTGCAGAAGCTTCAAACCGGCACTAAAAAAAATACTGAGAAACCAGAGTAAGTGTTTCTCCTGTAAAGAGTTCCATTTGTGCTCGATGAACTAAAGTCTCTGAGTGCTCAGTTCTGAGACATAGGTGTGTGTGAAAGCCGACCTTCACATTAATTGTTGGGAACACAAAACTTCTTTTCAGTTGGAAACTACAGTATAAACATATATATGGGGAGATAATAACTCCAACACGGTTTTACAGTGAAAACAGCAGGAACTTCATACCAGCACTAGGAAAAGACAGGGAAACCAGAGTATGTGTTTCTACTGCAACCCGTTCCCTTGGAGCAAGGTCAATGAAATTCTCTCCACATTCTCAGTTCTGAAAGATAATTGGAAGTGAAAGCCGTCCTTCACCTAGCTTGTTGGGAACAGAAAGTTTATTTTCAGTTCGGATCTACACTCTATACATATATATGGGGAGGTATAAGCTCCAACTAAGTTTTAGAGTGAAAACTGCAAGAAATTCAAACTGGCACTAGGAAACAGACTGAGAAACCAGATTATGTGATTCTCCTGCAGCCCCTTCAATCAGAGATAGATGAACGAAAGTATATCCACCTGCTCAGTTCTGAGATAGAAGTGAGAATGAACGCCTTCCCTCACCTAGCTTGTTGGGAACACAAAGTTTCTTTTCAGTTGGAAACTATACTACATAAATATATATATGGGGAGGTACTAGCACCAAATCAGGTTTAGAAGGAAAACTGCAGGAACTACATCCCGGCACTACGAAACAGAATGAGAAACCACAGTAATTGTTTTTCCTGCAACCAGTTCCCTTTGTGCTAGATGAGTGAACGCCTCTCCACGAACCCAGATCTGAGAAATTAGTGTGCATGAAAGCCGTCCTTCATTTATGTTGTTGGGAAAACAAAGTTTCTTTTCAGTTGGAATCTACACTACATACTTTTATATGGGGAGGTACCAGCTCCAACTCGGTATTACAGTGATAAATGCAGGAATTTCAACCGGCATTAGGAAACAGATTGGGAAACCAGAATAAGTGTTTCTCCTGCAACCAGTTAACTTTGTGTATATGAAAGAACGTCTGTCCACATGCTCAGTACTGAGAGATTATGTTGGGATAAAGGCATAGTTCACAAAGCGTGTTGGTTACACAAAGTTTCTATTAAGTTGGAAATTAAACTACATACATGTATATTGGAGAGGTAATAGATCCAACTCGGTTTTTCAGTCAAAACTGCAGGAACATCAAACCGGAACTAAGAAAGAGACTGAGAAACCAGAGTAAGTGTTTATCCTGCAAGGCCTTCCCTTTGTGTCAGATGAAAGAACGTCTTTCCACATGCTCAGCACTGAGAGATAGGTGTGTGTAAATGCCGTCCTACACCTACATTGTCGGGAACACAAAGTTTATTTATATTTGGAAACTACACTAATACTTATATAGGGAAGCATCTAGCTCAAACTAGGTTTTACAGTGAAAACTGTAGGAACTTCAAACCGGCCCTTGGAAAAGACTTGGAAACCAGAGATGTGTTTCCCCTGCAACCCGTTCCCATGGAGTTAGATC